ATTATTATTGTGATTATTATTATTGTGATTATTATTGTTTAACTATTATTATTGTGATTATTATTAAAATATTATGGTGCTTTTTTAAAATTATTATTAAAATATTATTATGGTGATTTAAAAAAATATTATTAAAATATTATTATTGTGCTTTTTAAAATTATTATTAAAACATTATTATTGGGATTTTTAAAAAATATATTATTGTTGTTGTTGTTAATTATCGCACTGTACAGTCGAGCACAAGATATAAGACAAGCACAAAAATTAACAGTAACATTAAGATACAACAAAAGTGGATAATAAAACATTTTTTGCAGAACTTAATCAGATCAAATTACTTCTTAAGTTCATTTTTAAGTACTGGAAAGGATTTTGGTTACCAGATTTACATTTGTGTGTTAAAAATCTGACCATTGAGTTTTTAAATTATGTATAAAATATTTTGTCTTCTTTCTTAAAGGTCCAGTGTGTAACATTCATATATTGCCATAGATGGAATATAATATTCATACGCATGTTTTCATTTATGTATAATCAACTGAATATATGAATCATTCTGTTTTTATTACCTTAAAATTAGTCGTTTTTATCTACAGACGCATGGATAAACCAAACACTGGCTCTAGATAGGGACTTAAGCATTTTTTGCAGCCAGTGTAGTTTCTCCTACACAACTGGAAGGCGAGTGGTAATTAGTTGATTGGAATTTGCAACTTCAATGCTAGATGCCACTAAATCCTACACACTGGTCCTTTAACTTACAGACATGATTGATATTGATATTCATACTCTTACCTCAGTCAATTGCACTGAATTAAATAAACTATTAGAGAAATTATAATCTTACCTTCACATGTTTGTAGGAAGCTCAAGTGCAAAAATGTGGAAACAGTATGTTAGGAAGATCAAAAAGCTGATTGTATTGTTCTTTAGCTTGGCACCATTTACACTGATGACTGAGCAATTATATTATTTTACTCCAGTTAGTATTCCAGCTTTCAGTGCAGATAGGCTTGTAAAAGCCTGTATGTTTTTCAAAGCTCCCACTCATGATTACAACTTGAGGGGACATTCATTTGCAAGTAAAATATAATTAAAATACAGAATATCACCAAACGTATCATCAACCAATCACATGCACAGACCAAAACCAACAATACGTGTATCTAATAACAAGTATTGTGTGTCTCAAAGCCTGAGTTCCTCTGTGCCATAGAGCTCCACTGGGCGACATGTTCCTTCATTACCATGAAAAACACACATTTATTTGTTCAAAATAATAACATCATGAGTAGGAGCCAGTGGGTTTGAACCACAGACAGGGTGGGGAAGTCAAAAAGTATTGAGTCAGACTAACACATTGTTGGTTTTGAGCTTTTCATGGGATTTTGTTGACAGTAAAACAAATTGTATTAAATGTTTTTCAGTACCACAGGCAGGATTAATAATAATAGTTTAGGATCTAATTCAATTTTAAAAGAGACGCTTACTCTTCTTCCCTGTGGTCCCCTTGGACCAGGGGGGCCTTTGTGGATTCGGTAGATCCTCTGGTCAGATCCATAGATAATGTTCCCTGTTCCAATAGCAGGTACAGATGGTAATGACTCCCCATGCTGCAGACTGGAATGCCACCCTTCCTCGTTGTTTCTTAAAAGACTCTTAGTTTCTCTCTTAGATGTTGTCAAATGTATCATGTTCTCATCCATCAGTAATGTATCATTAGGAGCTTTTACCTCAGACATTTGTGTCAGTGAATGAGACGAGGCTAAGTTGACTACAATAGATAAGCCTGTGTCTGCTGCATTTTCATGTAACATTTGGATGTTTGGATAGGATTCTGTCTCCTGAACTCTTCTGTCTTCATTGTTATTGGCTAATGTGATGTGAGGTTCATCAACAAGTATAAAGCCATGACTTTGGCCAGCAGCATCTTCATGGGTGTATTCTAGAGGGTTTCTCTCCAACAGGTGATCCTGAGAGGAGAGAGGAGAAAGAAAAAGGCCAATCACAAGTGGTGTTTTCAACAGCACTACATGTGTAATTCTGTAAAACAGACAGCAAAAAGGGGGGCAGGCGGAGGAGCAGATTCAGTCGGTGGGTTGTATAACATCCCTTACATTCACTGTAATTAAAGACACTGCTCTCTAGTCATTGCCTCAGTGTCAGTGCTGCCAAGAGAGTCAAGTACAAGGGCCCAGAATGTCTGCTGCCATGTTCAGTAAATACTGAATGACTGTACAGTAAACTGGTTCTCCGTATTAAAGGGGAGGGCATAAACAGAGGTCAAATAGGGACACACTCCACACACTTCATCTGCTTGAACCAGGAATCTCCCAGTTGACAGCCCAGTTTCTCCAGTCTACCCAATTTCGTCTACAGCAAGATTTCCAGAAAACTACTGGTCAGATGGGCATAGAACCTGCAATGGAAATTCATAGTCCACAGAAGACTAAGGATTTGGGTTACATAGCAGTATTGTCAGGTCAAAATTTCCCCATGGAAACATATACTGAAAGCATATGGAAATGTGTCCCTGAGATTACCTGTGGATATTCATGGTCCCCAGAGGCGGATTACAAATGTTTTTTAGTGATCCACTGATGTTTCCTCTCATCTTTGGGCCAAAAATGTACAGAGGAAATATCAATCTATAATGGGGAGTGTGTCATGAAATCTCTCCATATCTGTGCCTGAATTGGACCAAAAACTCTTCACAGAAAGGCGGGTCTTTGTAGAATGCTAGTGGGAGGGAGAAAAATAAAAACGTGAGTATTTAGGGGTGTGTAAATAGATTCACCAGGAGTGAGCAATACGGAATAAGTAGTAAGGGTACTCAGGTGGACAAAAATCTAAATGGTACTCCGGTATTGGCCCATTTCAGGCTCTGCTCCAGACGAGGGACCCTTTTTTTGGACACCCCATGAAGAAATATGAAAAGTTTGCACATAACATTGATGCTTACGCTGTTTAAAAGTAAATGGTCAAATTCAAGTGGAATATTCTAGAAAGTAAGAATAATGCCTTTCAAAGTAGGTCACTAATACAAGTCTGGAGCTGATAGACTTCAAAGACCACCTGAAACAAAAATGAGAAGATAACGATGCTCAGCTGAGTGGCATGAAGAGGGGGCAGAATACAGAGGCAATACAGGCACGAATTCCCCTTATTCAGCAGCACACAATGCCCCTTTATCCTGGACAAGCTGCCATTGTTGCTGCAGCTCTCCCAGCCAGCGGACACTTAATCGCTCTGCACCTGAACCTATTTGTCAGGCTAATCATCTCCACACTGCTCATCACTATTGCTCTCATGTACTGGGACCACTGTATGAAATAACTGAGAATCAAAAACAAAGCAAATACTGAACCAACACGAGCATAAAGACCATGACCACACTTCAAGTTGAAAATTACTAGTAGAGGCCTCGGCCTTTAAGTGCAAACAAATCTACCTATGGGTACAAACAATAACCTTTAACCCTTGAACCTAGCATCATGTTCTTTTGCATTGCACTGTATTGAATCAAATTGTGTCAGAAAGCACAATCCTTATCCTGGCAGGTACCTCATTATATTGTGAATGAACAATGACTTGTAGGTAATCAGTGTTGACAGTCATACATTGGCTGATGTCTCTCACAAACCGACAGTGTATACAAGATATAGAGTTAAGTTTCATTTAAGACAAAATCTTGATCACAAAAATGATGTATGAGCAACAATTAATCATACCGTCTATATCTCTAAGTGAGAAAATAATCTCTGCTGAACTACACAACTCGGAAAACATATTCTATTATCTGGAGCTATAAATAACGAGCAGGGCGGTTTTACAGAAACACCATGTTGAGAATTTTGCTGTTGAGGATTTTGCTGTCGAAGGGCTGAGCAAGGAGACGTGTGTAAACAGCTCACAGGGAGGTCAGCAGGAAGGTCTACGAGTTGCCCTCACATTGTTGTTTTGCTTGGATGGTGAATTTCCGGCATCAAGTTTTCACATCAGCTCACATGCTTTTGCTCTGTGCATGCTATTTAAAACATCAGAGAACATCTGAACAGAAACCAAAAAAAGACTTACAATTGTACATATGTGCTGGCGGAGAGCAACATGCTTCATATGGATTTATTTAGACAGGCCTCTACGAATACAGGGTGTTTACTACTGGCTGGGGTATCAAAGAACCATTGCAAAATAAATAAATGAACTAATACATAGTAAGAACAAGAGTGACATTTTAGATTTGATCCAGTGCAGCAGTCAGAACATAAAACTAAGGAAACAAAAGAAGGATATTGTATGTTCACAGAGAGTCTCTTCATACTACCTCAACCTACATCTCTATACTGTTAACACTGACGCTCTGACCCATCCCTTATAGTACATACCATGTCTGTCTGCTGCCCATCCACTGTCAGTCCCATGTGGAGAGGGTCCAGCAGCCAAAGGCAACCCAGCACGCAAGTTAACGTAATCCACATGTCTACAGCATGTCCTCACTCACTGCAGCTGTGCTCGAGTCAAGCAGAGTCCAGAGCCCATATGCAGTCCACTGGTCCTGTCAGAGCAGGAGCTGCAGGCTTTTCCCCTCCTCCAGCTATTCCTCATAGAGCCAACAGAGACACACCCAGGACGACTGCCATACACACTACACAACATGCTGCCACACCCCAGAGCTATTCACTCAGCCCTGAGGAGGATGGATTCTTATCTGCAGTACACAGGAAAGATACTGCTGCTGTCACATCAAAGCCTCATGACATACTGTTTTCTCCATAAAGTGGAGGAATTTTAAAACATATTTCCCCACTGGCACCTTTCCATGGGTGTTAAAATCATCATCCATGACCCACTGCAGGATCAAAAGGTGAAGACATAAAAGGTAAAGAGAAATGGAATATAAGGCAGAGTAACTAAAGATAATTCCATCAAAACTGTCTAATTACTGCAGGATGAAATGTGTGAACTATACAAAATTATTGGTAAATAGCTGTCATGGGAGTATACTGACAAAGAAATCATTGTGAATGTGTATTGTATGAAACTGCTCAAAACATGAAATAGATTCTTTATTAAAACTAAAATGTCTTGTGACGCATTAATAACATATGAAGAAAACAACAATATACAACAATTTAATTATATATTATTATTATTAGGCCATATGCCTTTATTATTTATAGATGTGACCTGTGATGGCCCAAGCCACACAGTTGTGTTGTTAACCATGTGGAAGAGGTCTGTCCTGGTGGAAGAAAGGCGTGGCCAAGGTGGAGGCTGGTTATATCCTGTGGCTGCCATCAAAGCATTGTTGGAGGGGGATTTGGGTTTGGTTGTTTTACTTGTAGTATGGGATAATTGCGTCATTTTGTTTTCCCTTTGTGTGTAATTGGTTCAGCCAAACCACTATAGTAGGTGATGTCCCTTGTGTGTCTCATTCATAGTCAGAGTTTGGCTTCAGTTCAAACTAGTGATTATGTTTACTTTACTACTTGAGTGATGGTTTTTTTCGTATGACATTTATATATAGGGCCTGATGAAGATTAAATTCTTGGTTTCTATTGTTTGGTATTATTGGGTAAATAAAAAAAAGACCCTATTATATCAATAAACCCTGTCTCCTCATTGCCTTAGACTGTTTGGTCCCCCTGACAGACCAACCAATATATATTAATATTTAGATTGATTCCCCGCTCCTCAACTGTTTCAAGCTGATTAAGAAGAACCAAAAAAAAATAAAGATCTGTACCATATTGAATTGGCATAGCAATCATTATTCTTTTGCCATTGATTGTACTGAATTACATTGTGTTGAGATGAAAATGTGTCAAATCGGCACTGCATTGCAATGGGGTGAATGGTACATATCACATTAGTAGTTTGTTTAATGTGTAATCTTAAGAATATCAGATCGCTGGCAATGCATTGAGATGAATAATTGCATATGGCTCAGATGATGATAGAGATTCACATCTCTAGTAATGAGCAAACTAAACTGGAGTCAGATTCTGTGTATGCGATTACTCATACTTGGCCAATGAATTGAGTCAGAGTTGCCGATCACTCACTCTTGTTACTGTTAAAAGAAGAATAAAAAGAAAATAATATAATGTTTGGTATGAATTTTTAAAAAACATGGTTTACAAAGTGTTGACAGAACACAGCAAGAATACAATTTACAATTCCGAAGGACGATAAAATAAATTGCATGAAATAGTTGAAATAACAGATGGTAATGATACAAATTAATGAAGTAGGTGAATAACAGAGATGGAATAAAATAAAGTAGGCGAAATGAATAAATAAAATAAAAAATAAGTAGAACAGAACTCAAAGACGGTTGGAGTAAAAATAAACATAAAAGGACAAAAATGACATGTATCACTTTTGATCGAGCAGCCAGATTCAGACAAAGCTGTGACGGGAGGGAGTTAAACCGTAACTTTACAATGATCTTACATTATTAACAAATAAATGTATGGTTAACAGAAGATTGTATCATGTTACATCTAAGATGTGAGATATGTTCGACGAGAAAAAGTGGCAGCGTGAGGATTTTAGCGACTTTGGACAAGGGCCATTGATGGATTTGTTAGACGACTGGGTCAGAGACCAAACCTGCAGCCTCTTGTGGGTGTTCCGCTCTGCAGAGGTCAGTACCTATTCAATAAGGGCCTCGGGAAGGAAAGGAAAAGAGCTGGCGGTGAAGCTGGTCCGTGTGTCTGATCCAACAGACGAGCTAACTGTACTCAAACTGCTGAAACAGTTAATGCTGGTTCTGATAGAAATGGGGTCAGAACACACAGTGCAAGAGCAGTAATGTGATGCTATGGGGGCTGCAGCATACAGGTTCTGACCACTCGGCGACCCCACTAGAATGATTGTATGTTGAGTACTGATCGTTACGACCTTG